GAGCTGTCAAAACTGATAATAATAATAATAAGCATGCCCTGAACACACGTGTTGTAAAAGGAGCTGTCAAGGGAAGCAGAAATCAAAGTTTCTTTCTTTTTAAACGCGATGAAAAAATAGTTAAGCAATGAGTTGTGTCTAGAGAGGATTTTCTTTGCGGTCGATACCTAATATTACTACCGAGGTCCCTCGCCAGTGATATTTTCAGTCAGACAAATTATCTGAGAGATAATAAACGACGTTTCCGTCAGATTGTAGATAATTTTCTTCCTTTGACTTTCTCCACCTTGTGAAACTATAAGACGTTTGTATCCTTGATTTTCTCCTGTTGTTTAGTTGTAAATCAAACGCCCGGTGTTTCCACATGTCTTTAAAAAAAGCTTATATGCATATTCAAAATATTTTTCAAATGACAGCCTGATACTAGGCTTGTTTGAGACAAGCGAGACCTGCGCAGACCTGCGCAATTTCGATCAACGTCTTGCTCGTGCGTTGCATGATGGTTAGTCATTTTGTCCGACTTGCTCTGGAGGCTCGCCTACATGAGACGTTGAAATCTCGCGGGACAAAGACGCCCGCAGCCTTGAGAGCGAGGCTGCTTCTCAGGTCGATTAAATGAAATCCTTGCTTCCCTCACTTCGTCGTTTCCCTGCGTTTAGTCCCTCCCACCAGGGAAGCATGGAGGGACGCAAGGAAACCACGAGAAGCAGGGAAATTAGTTTTAAGAGCAATGGGACGTCCTTTCCTCCGGAGCGTCACGTGAAGCGACGTCCGTTTGTGATGACGCTGCACAGCTGTTCGTCTGGCAGCAGCCAGCTCTGTCCCCGTTATTTCCACAAACACCCCCGCCTCTGTTAGTGCACATTTACTGACATAAACATTAGTATCATCTGTTGTAGATCCAAATACATGAAATAAAATAAGAAGTCATTCTCAAAAAAGATAAACGCCATTCTTAAAATGTAAACGATCAATAGTTTGATTAATATTGATTAGAGTGCACAATAGAAATAAAATAATTGAGAGAAGAAAAAGAGATATGTTATCTATCAAAACCCAGTTAGATTAACATTCATTGGATTGCACACTTTGTGTGTTTGTGTGGATATGTAGCATATTAACATTTTAATAGCACTTAATGACTGAATGGAAATGACAATAAATGAAAATGTAAAACGAAAAAAGTGATCATGAAAATGTTTCCAAAAAATGAATTAAATGATTTGTGACCACTTTGTTGTTCAGATATATCACATATTTGTAACTAAATGATACATTAATTGAAACAAAACACGGTATAAACTGAGGAGTGAGTCCCGTGAGGTTCATGTATTTTCTTCACTCCGCTGGGGTATTGCTCTCATGTCAAGAACCATCAGATCAGTGCATGCACTGCCTCGTCCAATCAGTGAGCGATACACAGTAAGGGGGCAGGGTGAGTATCTGAGGATTTCATCGGAGGATGGTCTGGTGGTTCCTCGGTTATCGCTCCTCCATGATCGCTCCTCGCTCCTCCGGCAGAAATAAGAGCCATGGGACGGTACTCAAGATGGCGCAGGCAAATCAACTTCCGGTGAGACCGAGGAGCGAGGAAATGAAAATAGTCGACCTGAGAAGCAGCCCGAGGCGCGGCGAGGCGGCGCAGTTCCTCTCCACGGGCTGCGGAAGCGAAATGCTTGATGGGAAACGACTCGCTGATCTCGAGCTGAGCGCTCATTGGTGGGTTTTACCACGTGCTGGTGATGAAACTCTCCAATTGGCTGGGCAAAAGTTTGTTGTTGTTTTGTGTCAGTTTTACGTCGCCACTTCCATTCACATTTTTCATCATTGTTCCACAATATTTATCATCATTAAATTAGCATATTCATACACACTGTTCATACTGCTCTCAGGCTGCTGTGTATATCTAGTGTATTCATACCCCTCACTGTTTATTCATCATTCAATTCATTCTATATTTTATTCTGTAGATTGTGTACATTACTTTTCACTTTACTGCTTGTTGCACCTGGTTAGAAGCTAAACTGCATTTCGTTGTCTCAGTACCTGTAATATGTGCAATAACAATACAGTTGAATCTAATCTGGAGCAGGAACACATGTATTTACTTAGTACATATCTGACATTAACGATTAAACACGTGTGCATTCTTTATAAATGCAAACCGAGTCAAGCCGACTCCGGAGGTGGCGGTATGCACCTTAAAGTTGTTTGCAATCCGCCAAAAAACCAAGAGAAGAAGAAGAAGACGAAGCCGACTCCGAGCATGGACTCCGAGCTGTCCGACTTCAGGCGAGCTTTTTGAGACCTCCCTCGGCTGCGATCGGCTATTCTCGTCTACTTTCGAGGCGAGCCGCAACGCGTCTCAAACAAGCCTAGTGATTTCCACCAGCAGCAACAGCACTTCCGGTCTGTACCTTCAGAATAAAAGCACACAACGTTAACACTCTCCTAGCCTTTTTGGCCTCCTACGTGAACGGAGCTCCTTTTCTTTGGCCGTGAAGAGTGTCCACAGTCTGTCCTGTTTTCACACTGTCTGCCATTTACGCTACCTGGAGAGAGATACTGGAGTAAAGAAAAGCACATGGAAGAGGTCAGCTTTCCGGCGGTGCTATCCTCTTCCTGATTGTGCAATAGTTGGTGCACTTCCTTTCTATAGGCCCATTCAGCCTTCACTTTCCCTGGGAGATTTGACCATTTAGCAGAAATAATTGTGCAGTGAAAGACAGATTAGTTTTTACATTGCACACAGAGTGTACTTCGTAATGATAAGTTAAAGCAAAAACATGTCAATTAAAAACATATCATGCAACTTTGGTTGATTAAGGCAGTGTAATGAGGTATAGTCTAATATGGAGTTCTTCTGTTTCTTCATATTACAAATGCAACAGGATTTCTGAAAGAAAATAGGATTGTGGGATACTCATAAAAGATGCAAGCTACTATGGCAGCACTGTAGGCCCTTTTGTGGGGCATTGGCCATCTCTGCCTCAAGAAGACACAGTAGGCTTGTTTGAGACGCGTTGCGGCTCGCCTCGAAAGTAGACGAGAATAGCCGATCGCAGCCGGGGGAGGTCTCAAAAAGCTCGCCTGAAGTCGGACAGCTCGGAGTCGGCTTCGTCTTCTTCTTCTTCTTCTCTCCGTTTTTTGGCGGATTGCAAACAACTTTAAGGTGCATACCGCCACCTCCGGAGTCGGCTTGACTCGGTTTGCATTTATAAAGAATGCACACATGTGTTTAATCGTTAATGTCAGATATGTACTAAGTAAATACATTTGTTCCTGCTCAAGATTAGATTCAACTTTATTGTTATTGCACATATTATAGGTACTGAGACAACGAAATACAGTTTAGCTTCTAACCAGGTGCAACAAGCAGTAAAGTGAAAAGTAATGTACCCAATAGACAGAATAAAATATAGAATGAATTGAATGATGAATAAACAGTGAGGGGTATGAATACACTAGATATCAGCCTGTGAGCAGTATGAACAGTGTGTATGAATATGCTAAGATATATAAAGTATGAAAACGGTAAGCAGTATAGTATAAAATATATAGATATTAATTTCATGATGATAAACATTGTGGAACAATGATGAAAAATGGGAATGGATGTGGCGACGTAAAACTGACACAAAACAACAACAAACTTTTGCCAGCCAATTGGAGAGTTTCATCACCAGCACGTGGTAAAAACCACCAATGAGCGCTCAGCTCGAGATACCAGCGAGCCGTTTCCCATCAAGCATTTCGCTTCCGCAGCCCGTGGAGAGCAACTGCGCCAACTCGCCTCGCCTCGCTCTCAAGGCTGCGGGCGTCTTTGTCCCGCGAAATTTCAAAGTCTCATGTGGGCGGGCCTCCAGAGCAAGTCGGACAAAATGACTAACCATCATGCAACGCACTAGCAAGACGTTGATCGCAACTGCGCAGGTCTGCGCAGGTCTTGCTTGTCTCAAACAAGCCTAGTTTGTTCAGGTTTAGGACACTTTGGCCTTGTGTACATATTAAGCTATGTCATTTTTCAGTTGAAATGCTCTCTGGTACCATTATTTAATAGTTGCCTGATATTTCTTCAGCCATTTTGATTTGCATAAATAAGTTATAAGAATACAGCATATGTTGTAAGTAATACTGCTTTAACTCAACCATGTCCCTCTCAAATTACACTTATGTAAGGTTGTTACATTATCCTCTACCAAAGGTTGCCTCTTGTAAGCTATGCACATACTCCAGAGAGGATTACATGGTCAAATCCAGTGCAATCAGTGCTCCATATATGCTGGAATAATACTTAATAAACAGTGTTAGTTTGGATAAATCAACTACAGTGTATACAAAAGTTACAATTTCAATTAATAAAATCAACTAATTGAAACATTGTTCGTTTGGGGCTAGAGTCTATGATCCACTCTTCTAATAAGTTCATTATTTCCGAAATTAATCAACTAATCATTAAGTTTATAAAATGTTAGAAACAAGTGAGAAATGTCCATCCCATCTCCTCAAAGTTCATAGTGGTGCCTCTTAAACGTCCTGTTTTGTCAGTCCCAAGGTCAGAAATATTTATTTGAATAATAATTATAAAACAAAAAGTCAAGAATATTCCACATTTAAGGACATAACATTTCTGCAATCAATGCATGACAAAAAATAACCATTAAATGTGCCAAAAATGTTTTCTGTCATTGACTATTCAAATAAGGGACTAATTGTTTCAGTACTATACTCTAGTTCTGCTCCTTCCATTGCCTGACATGTACACTTATTTATTTTTTCAATATACAAAATTAACAAGTGTTGCAAGAAAAGCAAGTTTTGGAATATTGTGTGATTATTAAAGTGCAGTTTGTTTCCGGCATTGACATGTAAATATGTCAGTGATGCTGCAGTCTAATAAAGCCAATTGAAAGCATCTCTAATACTAATGTGTGCAGCAGACTCCTGCAGCATCTCCCGCTGTGTGGGACCATCATGTCACTGTGCGCGGCGGAGGGATACGATAACCAATGTCATCGTGGTGCTGAGGCTTTTGCAAACCAAAAATGTCTGCCTAAGGGAAACTCGTAACTGATATAGAGGATATTTTACACAGGTGTTGCCGTTTTAACCATAGACAGTCTATGGTTTTAACCCACATTTCGCTCTTTTGAGGCGTTTTGCAAGAAAGCGAGTCTTCACCAGATGACCCCAGTCGGGATTTTAAGGTAACAAGGTAAAATATCAGTGGGAGTTTACCAAAAGCTTTCGGAGCAGTGAAAGAAGTTGGGAGTTGAGAAAGACCATCACAGCGTTTTGTTTTAGGACCTGGGGATTCTGACATTTGAATTATTTGTTTGGCAGAGTAACTTATTTTGACCCAGCGTGTCATTTATGTTTCGCACTGCACCTGGTTGCTATTTTCAACACAAATTAACCAGAAACAGCTCGTGTTAGCCAGCTAGCCAAGGTACGTTATGTGCCTGAGCAAATCTTAACAATCGTAATGCTCGACCACACATAGCACTGACATTAACACTGTCCGTGAAAGCCTCATCAGTGAGTTACATAAATGTCGTTACAGAGAAACATTGTTACTGCAGCACTGAGGAGCTGCATGTCTGTACCACCCATGCATCTCTCTCAAATCAACGCAAACTAAAGGTGTGCACATCATTTGCGATATTTTAAGCTTTAATAATGCAACCAAACTGTCAGAGTCTCTATTTGCAGCAATACCAGAGCCAACTTTTCTTCTCAGTGAGGCTCTTTTATCCTGCATCCATAACAATCACCTCGGTGGCAGTCATTTCCTGTGGCAGTCCGCTGCTGAATAAAGCAGCACGCTGTGACCTGATGGACTGTGTTTTCTTCAGGTTTCTAGATCGGCAGGATGAATCCTCAGCAGCGGATTGCCGCTCTCGGAACAGACAAGGAATTGAGTGACCTGCTGGATTTCAGTGCGGTATGATGGCTGTTTGCTCTTTTTTCTGTCTTCACCTCTCGATGTCATGCAGCTCTGCTGGCTTTCAGAGCTGTTAGGGGGTTCAAATAGGCTAAAGCATGACTAATTGATCTGTTAACATTAGTGTTGGTTATGATGTGACAGACTAGGCTTGCTTTTTTAAAATGCATTAGCTGCTTTAAGGATAATTGCAGCATATTATGTGAATGGCTGCTTTCACAGTGTTGAGTCTTGGCTCTAATTGTACCTCCGTATTCCTCCATGCAGATGTTCTCCCCACCTGTGAGCGGAGCGAAGAACAGGCCCACCACCCTCGGCAGCAGTCGGTTCACTGCAGCAGGTAGGGTACCTCAAAGCCCCTCACTAAACCCTCTGATGTGTTCTCATAGTTTTCATCCGGAGCTGGGTGACATGGCTAAAATCTACTGTAAAGATATAGGTTGTTTCATTACTCGATAACGATATATTGCAATAAAGCAAGTCAATTAAATGGTAAAGCTTTTTTAAAAGACTCCTTGCTAATGATTGACAAATGAAAAGTAGTGAGCATTTGATTAAGAACTTCGGTTACAAATCTCAAAACAAAACAACAATTTTCAAAGGATATTCTTTAAACATATTTCAATCAGTATGCATATTTGTGATCAGTTTAGACAATATCTTGATGTATGATTTAAGCACGAAATGTTATTTAATTTTTTTTTTTTATTCACAAATTATGTATATATAAATAATCAATAATACAATCTTAAAAACCAGGAAAATACACTTTTACCATATTACAAAACCTCAGACTATATCTACTCTCATATCACGATGTCAATATAATATTGATTTATTTTCCAGCCCTTTCTTTCTTTCTGCCTTGCATGTGATGCCTCTCACTCCTCTGTGTGCTCTGGTGGTTGAAACATGGAATAAAGCACAGTTGAAGCCACAGATATCTTCTAATTAGTATCATGGTGAAAAAGTGAATCATGTTTTACCGTACTGTCAGATGAGGTGTAAATCTGGCATGTTTTGGCTTTTTAAATTAACTATTAAGTGCAGCAAGTGTTCACATAAACAATAGAGTCTGTCTTTATCGGGGTTCGCTGTGAGGTGTGTTGGAGGTACGTTCAGAATCCAGTTAATTAAAATGTCAGAGTGAGAAGCGGTCAGAAGTGGAGTTGCTTGTGAATTGTAGTAGTGGATTGTGAGAAATCCTCTCATAGAGTTATGTAGTGTTTTTTTCTTCTTTGTACAAGCAGCAGTTTGACAGTTCTCAAAACCCTCATATACAAACACGCTTGTCTCTCCCACAAATTCCTGGTCCTTGTTTTGTTTATCTGTGAGCATCTCGATGGATGGTTTGGCTGTTTTTAAGAAGAGTTCAGATTCCCTGCTTCTGGATTGCTTCCCAGCTATAAATGCTACAGGACATTAATCCGAAGCACATCTATTGTCTCGTGCTATAAGTGAAAGTCAACAATCAAGCATTATGTTTTCTGAAAGCATGTTCTGTGAGCATCCACAAAGCCTCCTTGTAGTCAGTTATCTGTGAAACGAAAGACACACACTTAGTGGAAACTGAAAAGACAAAGAACCGAGAACAGGGCTGTCTCACATGAACCGTGGAGTTGTGCGGATTCATTTTAGTATACCTAATCATTTGTGTGTGTGTGTGTGTGTGTCCTAGCATTACTATACTTGTGGGGACCTAAATCTGTTTACACAGTCACGTATGGGAACAAATTGGAGGTCCCCATGAGGGGAATCATTACTTTTAGGGTGAAGACTTGGTTAGGGTTAGGCATGTGTTGGTTATGGTTAAGGTTAGGATAAGTCTCCAGGAAATGCATGTAAGTCAATGTAATGTCCCCTGAAGTGATGTATACATGGTGTGTGTGTGTGTGTGTGTACTTTCCTAGTGAGGTTCCCATGATAATTATATGAACGCTACAAACAATCATTGTTAGGGTTGTTGTTTTAAGATCATATTAAAGCTGGTTTTATTACCCAGTGGACAAAATATCCACCTGCAGTACAGAAATGTAACAACTGCAGCCTCGAGGATGAATAATAATAGACAATATTCTGTAAACAGTCGTAAAAAAAATGTCAAAGATTGCATCAGATTATACAGGTGTACATAATAAATTACATTTCACTGTATGTTTGTGGATAAGGAAATGTTTTCAAAAATCAGGTTGTTGAGTTACGGAGCCCCCTAGGGGATATGGAGAAGAAAACAAATAATAATTTAAAAAAAAAAAAAAAAATATGTTTTGCGAGATCTCGCAAAACCTTTGCGAGATCTCGCAATACTTTTGCGAGATCTCGCAAAACCCCTTTGCGAGATCTCGCAATACTTTTCATTTAGTACTTCCTGGTCAGTTCGGCTGCTACGGCAACACAGAAACCACAACAATGGAGTGGTTCATCGATTTTACTTTGAGCTTGGCCTTAAATATAAAGATATAACATAAGTGTTTGGCAATAGGCACGGGTTTCACACATAGACTGTATATATAAAGGGTTTCACATAAGTGAAGACACCTCAAGAGAACACTCAGAGCAAGGGGACATGCACGTCCCTCTGAGCTGGGTTATTGACAGATTCGAATTTCGCGGATCAATAACTCATGAACATAACGTTGTAAAAATACAAACAACATGACTTTACAATCATAGCAAGGTAGAGAACGAGCTACAGAGTCGTTTTTATCAGAACAGTTCGATACGCGCCGTCATCCGAGCTAAACATCAATAATTGGTCACAATCTGCAGCTGGAGGAGGGAGAGGAGTGCTTAGGGACCGTCTACAAACTGCAACGGGGTTTTGCGAGATCTCGCAAAAGTATTGCGAGATCTCGCAAAGGGGTTTTGCGATATCTCGCAAAACATTTTATTTTTATTTTTTTTCAAATAATTTTTTTTTTCTTCTCCATGTCCCCTAGGGGGCTCCGTATTGAGTCAATGTTGAAACACATTGATGACACAAAATACTTGATTTGGATACTTGAATTTTGATTACTCAAGGTTGGTGCTCTGTGTATAATGATCATCACACATGCAATCTCAATCATCAATGTCATTCATGTACTGTATTAAGAAATAATTGCTGTGTGCATTTTGATTTATTATAATCTTTCAAGATATTGACATGTACCTTCAGACTACGGGTTGTCTACTTATCGATACGTCTATCTGCAATTATTTTAACAATCGAGAAGTATAGTGACAACATGGCTATAAATCCCGTTTTTCAGACACTCAAATATGGAGATGTATATCCTATTAAACTGGTTTTCTTTTTTTTGGACTGACAAAACAAGTCTTTTTAATACTTTAAGAATTTGGGATGAAGTTTTTCTCTATTTTTAACATTTCAGACCCAAAGGTTTATCTGGAAATGAAGTGGCAGATGAATCAATAATGAAAATAAAAGGTTATTTGCAGTCCTGCTCTAGGCCGGGGCTTGCACTCTGTGACCTCTAAAACAGAAACCATCAGCACGGTGCTTTTTGTACAAAACAGAAAATAACTGGAGACTGTCAGGAGAATCATGCATTTCAGCCAAATCTCATTGTCATCACTGTGTTGTCTGCTGGGCGGCTTTGTTATTTAGAACCGTAACAGAGACTAAAAGTGGGCTGGTTTTTTTGGACGTTACTGGAACAAATCTACTTAATTAAAGTAAAGGGTTTAATTTACACATTATGTTCTATTATTTAGATTATATTAGAAATGTTCTATTGTGGTATGTAGATATGTGAGGATGTTTCAACAAACATTTATCTGGATTGATATATGGACTCTAGATAAAGGATCTAGTGTTATCGATTTCAGTATAAAAAAGCCATACATATCATCATGTTTAAGATGCGCCTTTATTTTGAAATTCCCATGGCACATGCTTCTCACCATTTCTGTCCAAGCACACCTGTTTCTGCAGAGCCAAGTAACTGTCCAATTGCATTTGAATTGCTATAAATGAACCTGTTTGTGTTGAGAGGGGATTAGATAAATCAATTACAGGCCTGTGATTGATGGAATATAAATCGTATCATGGCAGAGTTTATAGTATCAGTGTCCAAAGAATCAATTACATTTTTTATTGTGAGGTATCATTTGCACCCTTAATCATATGATTACCATTCTTTAATAAAAAAAAAAAACACAACCATATTTAAAAAAGAAAATCAAATAACAGCACCTATATTGTTTCTTCATTTAAAATCTCATTCATCTGTAATGGCTTTATAAAAACAGTACTTTTCATGCTTAGTGGGGATTATCAGTAATTCAAATTTAATTTGTAGCTATAATAACAGTTTATTCTAGGTGTGGCAATATTGCAATCCAATTCAAAGTGGCAGTTCAAAGCTTTGTCTTGTGGTTTGCAGCTTTTTGTCCTCAAACATTATTATATTTGGAGTTAAGGAAACATATAATATTAATATATCCGCTACCAATATTTGTATCAGCATAAACCCATACAATCGCCAAATAATTTTGTTATAAATTCCTTAAGTTGTCACAACCTTACAGACAGTTTAAAAGAAATGTCTGTACTGTTATTTCTTATTTCAGTTATTGGTCTCTCTCTAGTTAACAGGTTAAAGTGTCTCTGTCTATTTTTAAATCACACATATATACCTCTGCTGGTCATAATCATTTTTTCTATTTCTTGAAAAATGTTACGGAATGGAATTATGCAAAACTAAACCTTTATCACGACAGAAATAATGAAGTGAAAATGAACTGGTTCACCCCAGCAGTGTATCATCCTCTGGGTAAAACCCCTCCTTCTCTCAGTGCTCAGCATGTGCTCCTGTGTGTCTGATCCTCAAGGATGGGAAGTAGTCCCTACATAAGTGATTGTGAAAATAAGGCAAGTGGTGTGCAGACACAAGTGTGGAAATTGCAGGGAATGAGAGTTTGGATTATTGCATCTCAGCTGGGCAGAGCCAGATAATTGAGGCAGAGTGGGACTGGCAAGACCCTTCAATCGTGTGCCAGATTGAGATGGATTGGAAAAAATACCCAAAGTGGCTCTAACCGAGATTCATAATTTCTCCCCCCCAGCTGTGTTGATGATGCAAGTTTGACGAGGCCATTGACTGTCACAGTGCAGAGGGGCAGTGGCTGGCTGCTGCTGAATGTCTCATTTGTCATGTATCGGTGTGGAAAATGTGTTAGCTGTGACCAGCAGTCAGTGTGGGTTGGTTGGCCAACAGTTTCATCCCAAAATAATAAAACACAGCTACAAACAGCCTCACTTTGAGTTCAGCCTCTGGGAAGTCATTTCTTTATCAAACGGGTTTAAATGATCATATTATTAATTTGCTGGTTTTTATCCCTAAAAACATTTCTTTATGATGGTTTTACTTGACAGATTCACATTTAAGATAAGTATGGGGTTTATTTGGATAAGTTGATGTAATCCATAGACGTAATATCATAGTGGTCTTCAGCAAATGAGGCAACACCATCTAAGATTATGTTTAAGTAAAAAAAATATATATATTGTCAATTTCTCTGGTATATTCTAGTGGCTTTAAGGAAGTGTTCTGCTATGACTGTGTACAATTTATTTGAAATGAAGTAACCTTTACTAAAACACACTAATGGGACAAACCTGGACCACATTTGTGTATTGAACTATTTCAGGCTGTAATGTTCGTTCACTTCAGATTACGACCTTACATTGAATGTTGGCATGGATTGATTTTAACTTCTCTTATTTCCTAATTTCTATTAACAACATTTCTGTCTCTGCCTGTTTCTTGTTGATATGAAAATACTTAAACAAATGTCTAAATAAAAGGGTTCTTTTATTGGCCATCATAATAGATCAGAACATGCACATACTTGTTTTGTTTTCAGTCTTTCTGTCTTTCTGCAAGTTAGAATTATGTCAACCCTGTTTTCAGGGATTTAGGAGATGGTGCAGAATATTTCTGAAGTGAAAAATGGCAAGTTTGGTTCTTCTCAGTCAAGGTTTGACTTCAGATAAATTGTTTGTATACATGTGTTTGAAGAAGTCAGTGGTTTTACCATTAGTGCTGCTCAGTTCATTTATACAGGAAACAGAATTAGGTCAAGCGCTCTTTGTGAGTCAGCAGGGGAGGGGAGTATTTCGGATTTGTTTATATTTACATGGACATCTATTAAACTCGCCCGACTGTGAATGCGATCTGTTGTTTTACATGGGGGGATAAATCCGACATGATTTAGGTGTAAAACATAATGATGCTTATTGAGGTAGGTCGGAAAGCATTGCACTGCAGTAATCGTTACAAACATTTATCTCCATGTTCTCGTAAAATGTATAAAATAATCCTCCGTGAGGGTTTTACATTCATTTGTTTCTGTGGAGAATCAGGTTACTTAGTTTTTAAATGTCTGACATTTCTCATTTCTCATTCAAGATGCCGTCCGGACCAGAAGCTTTTTTCTTTCCTTTTTCCCTTTGGGTAGTCTTTCTGACAACATTTTGTCAGTGGCGGAAGGGGTTTTATAGATTCCTCAATCATACTCAATCATAAACTGATCCCTGTGTCTGAATGTATATAATGATGTTTAAAACGTTTAGTGGAAGCACATGAAAACACTAATAGGATTTCTCTGTTTAAGTTGTAATGTTTTGGTTGTGTTTAACCATTTTAAAATTTGATCCAATCCCAGATGTTGTAAATATGTAAATGCAATAGGATTAATATATTGGGGGGGCTTCTTGCTATGTTTTCATGTTTATGTTTTATTATTATTTTCAGCATAATCCAGAGGTTTTATCTGTAATTTCTTTGTCTTTTCTTCATATAAAACATATACATTTAACTTCCGAATCAATATAACTAAACATTTACTAAACTATTTAAATTGGCAAATCATTAACAGATCAGATTAGTAAAAGTCATCCCTCTACATTGTATGTATGTATGTATGAATTGATCAACAACAATAAAGAAACTGGAACAATGATATTTTAATAGACAGTGTCTGCTATGGTGATGTGATTATGGCTGCTTTTGCACCTGTAGTTTCCTTTATTATGTCCGAAAATATTAATTGTTGCTTTTTGTTTTGGGTCTGGTCTGCTTGTTCGGAGTAACTCGTTGACAGTTTTTAGCCAGATTAGGCCAGTTTGAGAGTGAAAGTGTTGAAAGTGGGAGATGAAGGGAAAGATGTGCATAAACGTGTGTCCACTGCAGCAGGTGGGCCACCAGCTCTTAATACTGAGCTATACTGCCCAGGTGATCTACAGATATTTATTATAGCTGTTTACGCATTGATTCTCAAAGTGGGGTAAATGGAATAACAACTTGTAAGTGAATAACTTCTTCTAGTAACTCAGAATATAAAAACAAAATATCAACCTAATATCAGTAATATCAACCTGATACTCATTAAAATTAGGATCTGTTTGTCACTAAAACATTTTTTTTGTTTGAAAGTATAGGTATACAGTAAATTCTGGGAGTTCAAATGGTAGTTAGCATATACTCAATCGGTGTTAAAATGATCAGGGGGTCCTTGGAAAATACATCCCTGGCCCCAATAGGTTGAACCCTGGCTCGGAGTATAATGTGTGAGAAGGGATGGATGTCCTGTTTCCTGTTTTCTTTGTGCATCTTTGCCACAGAGTGCTTGTTCCCCCAATTCATCAGACCTAAATAACAGACCATTTGTGATTCTCCCTTTTGCCTCTTGTGTCAGTGAGTAATCTTATTGTCCTGCCTGTGCTCGGAGAAGAGAGGGGACCCTTGAGCCGTGGCAGAAGATGGTAATCAGACGAGATGACAGCCAGTGGCCCAGAGAGCAGACACTGACCATTGTTACATTCAGTGTGTAAAAAGGCCTCAGTTGGGCTACAATATGTCACATCGCTGTTGTCACACCAATATCTAAAACCATGTGATATGGTAACAGATATTTAAAAATAGTAATGGAAGTTTCCCTGTCTGAGTCTATGAAAGTGAGACTATTGAAAACATATATTTTGTTCTACCATCAAGGCACTGAGGGGGTAATAATGAAGACTTTAAAGAGGAAATGAATCTGCTGTGTGTGAGCAGCAAAACAACATGTTTGTCAGGATGAGACTTATCTATAACTCTGCTCACTTGAGCGTGATTTCTAGTTGGAGAAATGTGACGCACTTTCTGTCTAAGTATATAATTAGATTTCAAACTAAGAATGAATTGGTAGTGTGACCTTTGAAAAAAGAAAAGTATGATACTAAGAAATTATCACCTACACTGTCTACAAAATGTGTAATTTGTCACATTTCAGATTGGATATTGTTTTACCTTGTCAGGGAGGTACCTGCAAACCACATCATATTGCCTTTTCATCATGTCTCTTTTATATTGAAGAGCTCAGTTTGGAATTAATAGCCCTCTCTAGACGAATAAGAAGCAGCCGTAAAGCTGCATTGAACCTGGTTAAAGGGAATTAATCGCTATAGTCTTTCTGCTAAGCTGCTTGCTGAGCTATACTTTGACTCGATTCAGAGAACTAGTCCACGTGTTGTGATCTATAATTACGGGTTTCGCTGTGCAGATTATAACTTCTGCTTTTAATCAAATTGTTTGTTTCAGATGTGTACATTCAGTTCCTTGGGTTGTATGCCTAACCCTGCTGCATGAAGGTGCAAATCATGTGCTAGATTTTAGGGTAAAACATGAACTTAATATTGAAAAGTTGTGTTTGTTGCTTGCTATATTATTATTTTTCTGGGCATACATGATTTCTTGAAATCTGATATTGTTTTATTTGAAGTTCAAATGAACGAAGCGTATTGCATTTTCCTGAGGCAGATGACATTACAACAGGGAAGATCAATAACTTTGGCTTTTACAGCAACACAATATTGTTTCAAACAGCAACAACAATTGAGGCATCAAATAATTGTACAGACTTATATCTCATACATTGGATTACAAAGATCAGATATTATATTTTCCAATACATGCCAGATGGTCTTGCTTTGCAGTCGGTTAGAGTTATTGATTTTATTTGTTTGACTTTTGAGGCGTATAGGTTTTCTTTCATTTAAAAATGAGTCTTATCAAGTTTTAGTGCTCAGCTGTCTGGAAGTAGCCTGGCATGCATCAATGCCAAATCATTAAGCTGTTGATTGTGTTTCGGTACATTGAGGCGGTGCTCATTTCTGGTTTAGATTTTTATTTCTTATAATAACAATAAATGTATTTTGCACTTTTCTTGACAAACAAACAACTTCAAAGTCCTTCAAAGAACAAAAATGTTACATACTAATATTTCATAAATGCTTTCTTATAAAATAGAAATTGGACAATACAATAATTATATTGTAGTATTTATTATTACAATAATAATAATTTCCAAACGTATTTATGTTGTTTCGTTCTTTCGAGTAGGGATCAAAGACAGTTTATCTTATCTCATCTTAAAATCCCACCCCTAATATGTGTTTAACTATTACATTTTGTAAATGAGATTTCAATCAGCCCTTGGATATAACATGAACAATGAATCAGATAAGTATTTCCTTGATTAATCTTTAATTTAATTTAATTGTTTTTGCATAAAATCTCCACAAAAAAAAAATGACATGTCATGTTTTATCCAATCAACAATCCAAACTCCAAATATATTTAATTTTGAATAATATAAAACTGATCAAATTCACACTATTCACTATCAAAAGAATTGTAAATTAAAACAATCAAACAATTAACTGATCAGTAGTTTAACTGAAACTGCCATCATATTTAAACATTTAATATAAAAAAAGATAAATGTTCCACCCCTTATCACTTGTAAAGTAACATTCCTGTGCACAACACATATCCAATGTCATCTGTAAACACACTGTAGAACTCAATCACTGGGTCAATGCATAATGTGTGTATTTATGAGCAGTATTTTGATTCAGTCGTTCCTTACTTCTTCATTGTGCCTCTGTTTGAGGCAGAACCAGATCATGTAGATAAACTGTGTGTTTGCACGTTGAACTCTGTGATGAACCTTGACTTTCTGACGGAGTCGTGTTTCTCTCTCTCTGACAGGTGTGGAGGAGCGGACCAACCAGGCGTCTTGGGCCCCAGGTGGCGAGCCCACTCCCCCCTACGAGTCCTCCCGGGTAAGATGACCCTCGCCTAAATGCCTCTGAACGACCTTTCTGCTCCACAGCACATCATTTAACACTCATTACATCAAAGCACTACATTCACTATGTTTTAGTCTCACCTTATCCAGATACCAATCATGATGTGTGACCTGTAATCGACACATCTTTCTGAGACAGAAGGGACTTGCTAATGTTCTTGTACGGTGTTGGAATGGAGTTCTTTTCATGTGACCAGATTAGCTAAACAAATAAAAAGGAAAACTAGTCACTGGAATATAACATTATTGTGGGATCAAGTTTCTTTTGAGTTATAGAGGCCTGGTCAAATACTGTAGCTCATTTATATGTTGATGCCGTAGTAAGTTGTACATGTTTTTCACCAAATATATGTGATCAGTTGTCGTGCCATAGAAATACATTTTCTCTGTTGTATTCTGATGTAAAACAGATATTTAGTGTCATAAAGAGGATGACTTATGACCCCAATGTATTTATATATACGTTTTCTGTTGGTATTTCTTTATCCCATAGTTGATGTTTTGGAATTAATAGCTTTGGGGAAAGATATTTATCGGTGATACTTACTCAGTATTTTTATTCATTATCTATAAATCTGCTAAGTTTTTTCTCGATTAACTGATTCATTGACATTTACAATATGTCAAACATTTTCACCACAATTTGTGCAATGCAACGTTCTAAAATATCTTATTTTGCACTACATTTGTCCCAAACATAAATATATTTAACAGCCGAACGTAAAAATACATTTGATTGAAAAACAACTGAAACAAATCATACATTTTAAAATACTTGCTGCGTTCTGTTTATCAATTTATGAGATTACCATTTATTTGTTTCACCTCTAATAGGAGTGTTTATTTTCAACGACAAGCTGTTGTTTGTGCATCAACAGTTGTGAATAAAGCCAATGCAGTGACACTGTAGGTGATTAATGGATTTAAGCAGAGCTTGAATGGGATTCTCTGACCTTCATTTGGCAGATCTCCGAGGCCATTGATTTGTTCCTCTACCGGCGGCCAGTCATAGTGTATAAATGCTGGCAACAGTAAAAATGACAGTAAACTACAGGACATGGCTCTGTGGCTGACTTCAGATCTTGAGCTCATAAAGAATGTACACATGCTTGATAACTTAACTAGATATTTCAATAATGTATTTGCTTTTTATTTGTTACTGCAAATGCCAACCACTGATGACTCTTATTAGATCCGGGGTAACATGGGTCTAGCCTCTGCACAAGTAATTAGAAAGCAGACGCATCTAGCAGAAAACACAACTTACTCAAGGAAATGGACATTTTTATTTGGCGCTGGGCAAGAAGATGCTTGACATTTTGCACACATAAGAGTAAAATAATAAATGTGTATTGCATGTGTATAATAATAATATAGTAAAAACTGCAATTCAAACTGCATCTCTGTGTTGAAGTGATAACATCTCACTGTTTTTGTGAGCAAGTGTGAACAGCTCTCCTCTCCAAACCTGTTTGTTTGTCACTCACACATTGTTTGTTCTAGATGCCCTGTATGAATTTCATTTAATGTCAATCTCCTGTCACTTTCCATTACATTTCAGTTAAATGTCAGAGCCACTCGGGCTGCGTTACCTTGTTTATTTCTCTGTGCCCTTCCCGAATGAACATCCACAGGCTATGGTAACATAGGCAGCTTGATTTGAATTATAAGACAGAGACACTTGAGATATCTGTGCTCCAGGTGCATATAAATGAGTGCTTCTGACATTGCAAGGCACAGCATCAGCCAGCAGACAGCTGTTTGCACCACCATAAGGCGTGCACGCACACAACACATGCAACATCTCACACTCTCACACACACAGCTGCATGCACACCATATCATGATAGAGACTTGATTTATGTAGCTTATAAAATAGTATATCCTATATTTTCTGCTTTAGGATGCGACCGGCGTTTCTCATGAACCTCAGTGTTGATCATGTTAAATTTGGGCTGGGTGACGATGTAGTCTTTAGTTGGGGTAGGCCAATCATTCAAAAAAGCAAAAAGTTAAATATTTAATTCATGAAGAGAGGTTTATATTTTACCTAAATATCAGAAAGCACTTTGTCTTCTGGTTGTTATGACTGCTGTGTGTGTGTGTGTGTGTGTGTGTGTGTGTGTGTGTGTGTGTGTGTGTGTGTGTGTGTGTGTGTGTGTGTGTGTGTGTGTGTGTGCGCGCGTGTGTGTGTGTGTGTGTGTGTGTGTGTGTGTGTGTGTGTGTGTGTGTGTGTGTGTGTGTGTGTGTGTGTGTGTGTGTGTGTGTGTGTGTGTGTAGTAGCTTCCATAGCTACATTATATGGAGCAACATTGTTTTACAGGTAAAGTTTTATGAAGAAGGAAAATTAGGGAATTAGAGAAAGTTAGAGATATTTTTAAGAAAACTTTAATTCTCCCCCCTAGAACTCAATTCAAAAAGGGAATTTTTACGTAGTTATAAAAAACTTGGACGTTTTGTAGACATTCAAAGTTGAATTTCAACCAAAGCCTTTAAATGATTTGGAAAAATTCAAAGTTTGAATGCAGATTGTAACTGAAAGTATGAATGAGTGGATGCAAGTTGAAAATGCAAGAAGAAGTAGAAATGCTCAACAAGAGAACCTCACACTGTGAGTTATCCTCCATCGTTCACACATATGTATGTTTCTGCGTAATTGCAGAGATGATTCTCTCCCTGTTGTTAAGATGTCTTGTTGTCATTCTCTAGAATCAAATAATTTGATTAACAAATGAAAAACCATTTCCAAAATGATGCCTTAAGCACAATATCTGTCCAGTGCTCTGAAGAAATCCTAGTTCTTCATCCCTCCGTCTGTTACAAAGGGAATTCAGTCTTGTCCCTGAGCTTGTTTGAGCTGGTGAGAGCTGGTGAGCTACGACTGTGTGATCAGTCAACTGTGAACAGTCCCGAGCCTGCCGTGCTGACCTTGGCCTCGAGCCAGCCGCTGCATCCTGGGCAGCTGTGGCTGTAGGCAGGCGGTCTGACAGTCTGTGCCCACTGCCACCGCACGACAACCCCCATTTCCCCAGTGCCCTGCCCCGACTTGAATCCCGACCCCACACGCATCCATCAAGACCCAATCATCGCGTCCCAAGCTGCCACATGCAGCCTCGCGTTCACCTGGGATGCAGCACAGAGTGTGAAGGAGACAACTTTTTAAACGGTGTGGCGAGTGATTGGGGGACAAGGCGTGAGCCCCGGCCCGCACGCTGCCACAGAGATCAGACAGTTATTTAGCCAATAGTGCCAACGCGGCCCCGTGGCAGCGGTGACAGGGTGTGTTAGTGTCTCACATAGATGTAGGCCACCAGAGTTTGGGGATGATGAGGCATCTGTGATTGATGATCCACCAGTCCCAGAGGAGTAAACAAACACACAAACACACACAGTCACACATTTAAACACTTAGCATAGATTGACAGTGGCCGACCAAATATATGTTAAATGTGAGGCTACAGACAGGATTACTACTAAAAATATGGAAACGGCTAGCTCAAAAGCCAACAAATAAACACAATATATGTTGTTACAGTAGCCTATGTTGTTTGTATAATCTTAAAAAATAAAACAATGCGTACACATTTGAATCCACGGTTATATTTCTTGCCTGAAAGCAGCTACCAAGACTTGGCTCAGTAAAACTCCAGCAAGAAATGAAATAAAGGCAAATTCGGTGCTGATTTAACAAATTAGATCTGTATTTAGCTTCAGAGGTGTTTTAAGTCTTTGGTCAGAGACAGGAAAGCTAGGTTTCCAGTCTTTGTGCTAAGCTAAGCTAACCAGCTACTGTCAGTTACCCTATATTAAATGGTCAAATATAAAAGGGGTATCATTAGTCACTCCCAGAAAGAAAATACGTGTATTCTGTGTTCTCAAGTCTTGAACTATTCCTTTGGGTCTGTATTTTGGAGCATTTTCCTTGTTTAGCTGCAGAAGAGAGGAGATGTTTTTCGCCTGCTGACGTTGTGCATGTGTTGGTCTGTGTGTGTTAGTTTGCCCCAGCCTCTCACGGGGCTGTTGTTGTTATAGAGTCTGTTCATGGTGTGATTAACAGTGTGTGCGGCCTGGCGGGAGCACAATAGAGAATCTCGGAGGATTCCCTCGACGCAGCGCAACACTCCAATACCTTTGAAATTACTCCATCACCATCCACTCACAAAAGAAGATGGATAATAAGATTACTTTTCTCTTACTGTATGTTGAATGCAAAGGGTATGAGTTGGTGAAAATAGCTCTATAGAAATGCAAGCCTTCTGCTCGGTCCCTCTGCTGGGAGTTAATGTAGTTTGGGGAGATGTTTTTGACTGGAGCATTGGAGGATTTTCACAGGGCTTGGGATTAGCCCTGTAACAGAGCATCTTTTATTACATGGGACCCCGAGTTTCAAAAACCATACTGTGACCGATATTTAGACCTAAGCCCCTGCAGCTGATAACTGTCATGAAAAGGCACTGTTAAGCTGCAGGAGAAAAAGGCAATTTTTTAAAGCTGCAGGTAGCTGGGAATGATGTAGGATTGCATCTCTTTGTTTCCTACTCTTCTTTGTAACAACACCTTCTTATGAACTGTGGGCTGATGAATAAAGCTGTTATAGATGAAATAGAAGAATAAGAAATAACTGTAATACATGTGATAATGACTAAGCAAATGTTTCTACAGGTCCAGTTGTTTTCTAAGCTGAGAGACCAGCACAGATGTTAACAACAGCCACCAATGTATTGTGAATAATAGGTTGGCAATACAAAGATTAAATGCGGAGAACTTTAGTTAATTTACAACACAATTTCTTGAGGGTGAGCACAGTTTATGATTATAGCGCAGATATCGGAGAACGTGTTAAAATGTATACAGAAGTGTTAATAATACAACCCAACTGGCCAAAGAGATGTCTAACTATGCCTGGTATAATAACAAAACAAAATGGCATATACATCTGGTTTAGGCGTAAGTCAGTCTGTTTGAGGACATGTCATGCAGAACAAATATTAATAATACAAATTACAACAACTACTTTTACATTTCTGCCATCACTGTCACTAGAACTGCATAATCAAAAAATAGCAGAGTATTAATGACAGGTGGAAGGTAAAAGAAAGGATGTAAGGTGAATCTTTAACAGGCACTTAAAGGCCTGAATTGATGTTGCTGTCCTGAGATCTAGATACAAGCTAAAGGGAGGCATTATAGGCTTGCACATCCACAACGCATGGCTGAACTTAGATAAGGTAAACAAACAAAACAACAAAAGAGTAATACGTTGTTGTTTCTTCCACAAAAACAGGCTCCCTGAATATTTGTATCTTTACTGCGAATAATGGGTTTTATTAATGTAATCCGTAACAGAGATGTAAAGTACTGTTTCTTTCTCTTTCTTTTTTTCGACTATTACACAAGAAAGGTGACAGTTTATTAGCATAACCGACCAGTTGTGCTCTCATCTAACTAATTAGTAGTATGGCATCTCACTCTCAATTATAGTTGCCAAATAATGTGCCTCATTTTCTGATCTCTTCCCCCAGGGTTTCGCTGACAGTCCTCATTACGGCGATCATTTGAGTGACAGTCGATTAGTGTCCCATGAAGGATTGTCCCCAACACCTTTCATGAACTCCAACATAATGGGTAAGTAAGTGATTCTCTTCCACTCACTGCTCACATGCCCTTTGGTATTGGAGGACATCCTGTTAGAAAATGGCCTGATTGAGGTTAAGGCACATCATGCATCTGGAGGTAACAGTACCGAAGGCTTGCCAGGCTGCAGGGCTGTTTTCTTCTCCTGCTGTCTTTATTTCTTCCCTTAATCCCCCTCCCCTCTCCGTATCTCCCTCCTGTGATGACCCTCCCCCAGGCTAGAAGTCACGCCATCAGTATAGCTTTCCGTCATAAGAAGCCATCTCCCAGACTTCAAAACGCCCTCAGCTACTTCTATTGGCAGCAGGGTAGTGATTTTTTGGCGCCGGGTTAATCTGACTGTTGTAGCAAAGGCCTTCGCACACACAGGGAGTCAAATAATCTGAATTTATTATAGATTCTTTAATTCTGTTCACTATGTGTTGCTGTCTTTACCTAATCATGCTGGCCTCATTGTTCAAAACACTGCATTATTTCCTGATTTAAATTGGAAGATTTCTATATCTGCATTTATCACTTACCTTTCAGAGCAGATAAGTAGTGATTACCTTTTATTATAGTGTTTCTTTGATCAGTGGTCTAATGTACCCCCACAGCTTATCATATTTTCCCAAGCTCCTTTTCATTGACCCTATTTAACGTGCTCACAGAAGTCAAGAATTTCCATCTTGATCCAATTTCACCATATTCATTCCCTTTATAGCATTCAAAGTTATTACTAAAATATTTTCATACAAGACAACATAATAACAAAACTTGTCATTATTTAGGTGTGATCTCTTTTTTCACTACCTTAGGTTTGGTCTAGAGATTACAGCCATATTCAGTATCTGTTTCTTTTGTTATCAATCTATTTTGCCTTTTTTGCTAGCTTCTTAGCGTCACAAGACCTGTGTTTGGATGCAAAAATGAACTCAGGTTTTGTAGAGGCCTGGTAGCTGGTAGTATATTATATTTGATGACAATAAATAATGTTAAGATCAACGCATTTGCTTATTTTACCATATCATTAAACGGAGACAATGCTCTATTTCTGACCAAGTTCTCCTATTAGTGTGCGTTATCCAGCTCTTTGTCCTGGCATCATTGATGTGTGACCACTTGACATTTTTATGGCTAACTATATCTCAGCGCATTATGTAATGACCCTAGAGACTGGTTTCCCAGAAAAGCGATTAGTTCACAAATGGTCGCTGCTGAATTGAAACAAAATGTTATCTTTCTTGTAATTGATCACATGACTGTTTCACATGCACACACACATATACTCACACACTCTCCCATTTACACTGCGTCTATAATTATGCTTACTAGAGTATGGATGTGATCTGTTGCAGTGTTATGTCAGATTCAGACAGCATGATTGTAACGTTGCCTGTGCTTATATTACACTTAGAATTCTAAATGTAAGTTATATCTAGGATTAACATAGATTTAGATAGATATCATAGATAGGACCCTCATCAAATCCCGTCTGAAGTGTTAAACAGAGTTATACTTACACTTTAATTTCTCCTGTAGTTGTGGCAGTAATTGTTGAATCCAGTCAGTCACTCCAGTAGTTTCAAATCAGCTCCTCAGAACCTCCCTGGTTGTAACACAGCATGTATAAAGATCTTAAATAAACATTAAGCAAATGGTTTGCCTGAGGCTGTTTGTGTTGAATGATAAAAGACGGGCAACTAATAGATTATTTTGTAACTTAAAGGTCGTAATTCTGGTGCTTACTTTACAATCATTGCAACTGATTGCGGATTGTCAGATAATATGATTGTTGTCATGATGGGACTTCATAGTATTTTATCCTCATAATGTCCCCCGTGGCAACACGCCACACATACGTGTAGCCCGTCACTGTTATTAATACAGTGATGTGTTGTAGCCTGAATCCATGCTAATTGTGGATGTGCTTCTGGCTTGGTGCTTCTCAAGTGCTGGTGAGTAAAGATTCTCCCAGTTCAATAAGGGCTCCAGACAATTGAGTTTATTATAACTTCTCTTACACATCAAGTCCATTTTAAATAGAGTACAAAGCAACCTGATCAAAATATGTGCCCCTTAAGTCACACTTATGTCTCACTACTTCTGTTAAAAGTTGATCTTATTTAACATATTTTAAAGGTCACCTATTATGCAAAATCCACATTTTCCTGTCTATTATACAAACATGTGTCCCCTCTGTGAAGAGAACCTGAAAGTTTCAGGAAAAAAGATTCTCTCACTTTTTGTCCTGATCCATTTATATACAAACCTGTCTGAAAATGAGCTGATCAGATTTTGGCCACTTGATGATGTCATAACGAATTTTTGGCTTGTGTAACCATTAGCCAATCACCAACCAAGGTAACCCCCCCCCCACCTTATCACCTGAATCTCCTCCTAGAGCACCATTGTGTTCTTTTTACCCAAATATCTCTCAGAGGGGCGTGGGGAGGGGCTCCTTATTTTCATCTAAAGTAACAGACAGAGAATCAGCACTTTTGAAACAGGGCTGAAACAGAGGGGATTATGAGATGCTATAATGCACGATCTGTTTTGTATTTCAAGCCAAACACTTCAGAGACATGTTTTGTATATATCTGAGACCTATAATATATTGATGAAAGACTGTATAATAGGGGACCTTTAAGGAATATAGCAGGTAGCTGGCAATAAGTAAGATGAAGTAAATACTCAGCAGGTTGTATTTATCATTTCAAAAGGAAGGGGGACAACTGGGATAGCAAGAGGACAAACAAAAACAAACAAAAACAGCCGTTTGAATTTAATTTAATTTAAATATGTTTGATGAAAATGTGAAACTGGTAATATGTTGTGTTGAAGGTCAGCTTGGTGTGTGTCAGGGCCCTCAGGATGTCTTAATGTTTCCTGCCTTTTGTTCAATGTTTTGTTCCTGAAGGGAATTGCCCAATACATAACCTCTTATGTCATACTTTCCATGTTATTCCATGTTTTAATTGTTTATCAGCATAGAGTAGATCTAAACCATGCATCACTAATCAGACATTTCCCTTGGAATAAATACTGAGGTGTTTTTTTATGTAACGAGAAATACCATTCGTCACATTTATTTTTCTCCTTATTTCAAATATTCATACTGCTTGGCCAAGTAGCTTTTAGCTTTAATTTATTTTTAGATCTTTAAAGAGTGAACACAATGGAACACATCAATCTGGACAGAAAAAAAACCCTTATTAAAATTCAATTTGAAAACGGACCACTACGAAAGTCTTGTCCTCTGCAACCTCTGTGCTGCCTCTAGTATGTGCCTGCAAAATGTCAAAACAAAAGAACAAAAAAATAGATCGAAGAAACCAGAGACAAACAATTATAACAGTAATGTTCTGATCTTGGGTATTAAGGATTGTATATGGTTGAATTTGGTGTTATCTAAAACATTGGACCAACGGTGGACCTGACTGCTGAAACACCTCAAAAACACATGACACAAACGCCATAACTATTAGTTTTCCATTACATTGTGTGGTGTGTGTGCGTATGTGTGTGTACAAACATAAATAACTTATAATATGATACTATACCAAATCTTACCTCATATATATGGATATATATATATATGGATATACATCCAATCCAAAATAGATCATGCCCTCCATTTACTTATTTGTATCTGTTGTCTTCATATTGCTTTTCTATCTTCAAATATTTGTTTTCATATCTGTCCCCTGCTACTTATATGTGTTGTTCTCATATGTTTTCTAGATCGATGAAATCTGTTTTTGCCTTTCTTAGAGTGACTAAATTGTCTACACATGTGAATGCACAAATTAGTGAATAAAGGGGGATATAAACAGTATATGTGGTTTGCGTGTTGTCCAGTCTTGTAAATGCATTGATTTTTACTGTCAGTAATAAATGTGCGTGACTCAGAGGGACCAGGATCCCTTTTACTCACAATGAAAACACATTACAGTATGTAGCTCCAGAAAACATAACGGTATAAACATGTTGTTTGAAAACTTTGCTTCTCTGTATCTCAAGAAGTAAATGAGGTTATACAGTGATGGTGGGTATTATGAGGCGCTCACAAGACAGGTGTGTGGGGGTTTGAAGCTGAAGAATGGGGGTTTTTGGAGTAAAGATGGGGAGCCAATGACACGGTTGTCCCCAGGGGTCGACTCCATGTTAGTATGGATCAGCTGGTCGGGCCCTCACTTACATCTTAGCCCGCCTCTTGCGCTACATTCTTCCTACAAACCCGCACGTCACCCACTGCATGCTGCCAGACAGGTGGCAGCCACATTGTTCATGCTTATTATAGGGCACTATGGAAAAACGTTGTCACCCCCTTTGATTCAACCACGCCTCACATGCGTTAAGAGACTGCGCCCGCCGCCCGCGCAGTGTGTCATATCGTTCAGGGAGATTTCCAGTTCCACGATGTGAAAACGTGCCACCCCAAGTTGTAAGTTAGGGTGTCACACATACGTGCAGCCCTATAAATTAGTGGTTGGCAAAAATGGAAAAAGCTGCAACAATTTGTGTATTTGAGAAGTTTATCAACAGAACAATTATCAGGAGCTATTGTGAAAATATATTATTGTCAAAGAAGTTTGCAAAAATGACAGCTTTTTGAGCCCCTCAAATATAGATATTTCCCGATTTTCCACTTTTATACCATATTACAATGGATATTTTGGGGTGTTGGACTGACATTTAAACACATCACCTTGTGTTTAAATGTCACACACACACACACACACATTTGTCATCCCCACATTTTCAACAATTTTAATAGAATATAAAGGCAAACTTCTATTGAATTGATATTCAAAGTAAACGGCAACTAAATAAACAGCAGCTTTTCCAAAAACTCTCTGTGACTTCACACCGACAACAAATATTACAAATCATTTATTTGAAGCCCTTTGTACCCTTTTCTATTTCAACCTCTTTTGATGACAGACCATCACTTCACTGAAGTATCTCTGTGTTCGAATTGTTCAGCACTGATTGGCTTGCAATTAAAT